AAGATTTTTGCATCAATGTTCATTATGGATACTGGCCTGAAATTTTCTTAGTTGTGTCTCTGTTGGTCTCATAAAGTGAGTTAGGGAAGATTCCCTCTTTTTGTATTGTTTGGAATAGTTTCAGAAGGAATGGTACCAGCTCCTTTTTATACATACATTAGAATTTGGCTGTGAACCCATCTGGTCCTGGACTTTTTTTAGTTGGTAGGCTATTAATTGCTGTGTCAACTTAGGACCTTGCTATTGCTCGATTCAGGGATTCAGCTTCTTCCTGGTTTAGCCTTGGGATTATTTAAGTGTCCAAAAATTTATTCATTTCTTCTTGATTTACTAGGTTTATGTGCAAAAACGTGTTTGTAGTAATCTCTGACATTAGTTTGTATTTCTCTGGAATTGGTGATATCTCCGTTATCATTTTTAATTGCATCTATTTGATTCTACTCTCTCTTCTTTATTAGTCTGGCTAGCTGTCTATGTATTTGTTGATCTTTAAAAACAAAAAACAAAACAAAACAGCTCCTGTATTTATTGATTCTTTGAAGAGCTTTTTGTGTCCCTATCGTCTTCAATTCTGCTCTGATCTTAGTTATTTCTTGTCTGCTGCTAATTTTTGAGTTTGTTTGATCTTGCTTCTCTATTTCTTTAATTGTGACATTAGGGGGTCAATTTTAGATCTTTCTTTGCTTCTCAGGTGGGCATTTAGTGCTACAAATTTCCCTCTGACACTGCTTTAAATGTTTCCCAGAGATTCTGGTGCACTGTGTCTTCATTAAAATTGAGGATTGTTAGACATTTCATTTTATTAGAATCTACCAAAACCAGCAGACCCAGAATTTGCTTGGCCCCACCTGCTCTTTGTCTAATTATTTACTTGTTAACAAACAAACTTAATCCACAGGGAATTAAGTTTATCAAAGTTGATAAGAGAGACTTCAAATATTTCAATTTTTCAATTGTAAGTTTTGTAAGATATTGTAACAATGAAACAGCAAAATAACTAACTTTGTTTTGTTTAAGTGGCCTTTACTCATTCCTGCAGGTAGGCTAGTATAATTTTAGAGCACTAAGAAAATATGTAAAAACAGCCATTATATAATTTTTAGAACTAACTCTGAGATTAAAGGAGAAGTATATAAATAACTATATTTTGGGAAAGATTGATAGGAGCATTGTGACCTGACCAAGGGCAAAGAAGTTCCCAGCCTTTCTAGACCCTCCCTGGTGCCCAGATGTCTGTGGTTATCAGTTACCTCTTGATCCCAACAAGCTCTTCTTTTCCCTACCCTTAACATTGAAAAAGCCTGTAATTTGCACTGACTTATGATGGTATTTTAGGATACAAATACACCACCTTTTTGGTTTGATGGCTTTCTGAATAAAACTGCTTTTTTGTCCGCACCAATTCTCTGCTTTTGTGTTTGGCCTTTGAATGCTGAGTAGCTCAACCTGGGCTTGCCTAATTCTGTTGTAACATAAACCTGTAATTATATTGTTTAGTATCATTAAATATATATATATATACACACACACACACATGCATATATTCATATATTATATATAAAATACCAATATAAACTTAGATTATATATGTACATTTTATACATAATTGCATATGTAATACCAATATATAGATATGTTTTGCTCTCCAATATGATATTCACTTAACTCCATCTGTTATTTAAATTGAAATTTTGATTAATTAAAATTAAAATTTCAGTTACTCAACCATACTAGGCACATTTTAAGTGTTCAATAGTCCTCATCGTAGAAAGTTCTATTTAACTGCACTTAATATATATGTACACGCATACACACTATATATAAATACAAACACACACAAATATATGCAGTTTGCATTTAAATATAATCCATACATACACAGGCACACATATGTAAACATAAGTTTTAAAACAGATTTTCTATTTATTAACCAAATTAAGTCACCAGAAATCACTAGAATCTCTACCAAAAAAAAAAAAAAAACCAGCAGCAACAACGAAAAAAACACTATAGCTCTCTTAAAGGCAAATTTTATTGAGTTCACATCCTTTGTAGGGACATGGATGAACCTGGAAACCATCATTCTCATCAAACTGACACAAGAGCAGAAGATCAAACACCAAATGTTCTCACTCATAGGCGGGTGTTGAACAATGAGAACACAGGGACACAGGGAGGGAAGCACTACACTGTGGGGTCCGTTGGGGAGAAATGAGGGAGGGACAGGGGGTGGGGAGGTGGGAAGAGATAACATGGGGAGAAAGGACAGATACAGGTGAGGGGACGGAAGGCAGCAAACCACACTGCCATGTGTGTACCTATGCAACAATCTTGCATGTTCTTCACATGTACCCCAAAACCTAAAATGCAATAAAAAAAAAGTCAAATAAAAAAAATTACTAAGAATTTATCTCATTTGCCAGTATGTTGCTTTTATATGTTTGTTTTTCTTGTTTGCATTTGAACACTTCTTTTTAACCCAAACTACTATTGAAAAATTTTACTGTAAATTGCAAATTATTTACTTTAAGAAAAATGAACTCAAAAATATTTGAATGGTTATCTTTCTTAATTTATGTCAAAAGTAATAATTTTCCTTGTCATTGCCTAAAATATTTCTGTGCTATTATTATATAAATGTATTTGTTAATTTATAAATAGGTATTATAGTTTTGATTCCATCACTTAAGTAAGCTATAATATAATTTGAATGAAGTGGTTTTTATAATTAATTTTCATATTTATTTGTTGAATGTATTATGTATACTTTCGAACAGTTTGCCACATGTAATTAATTGTAGAAGATTTGACCTGGTATGCTATTTTTCATTTAATTAAAACTCCAATGTATGATGAAAATTGGCACAATGGAACAGGCAAATAATCTAGAAAAGAGTGAAAAATAATAAGCTTCAATGAAACATGCACAGTTTGGAAATAAGTGAGAAAATGATAATATCGTTTATCTTGTTCTCTAGTTTTGAAAATTACCATGGCATATATTCATTGAAGCACCCATTCATTAATCTCTTATTTAGTATTTACTATGCATGAGGTACCATGTTAGGTGAATGCAAAACTAGAAAATCATTGGAGCCAATAGAAATCCAGGGAAGCACAAAGTTACCAGAAGAGAACTCTTTCCAGACCATTTTCAAGTAGATATGTTTCACTTAATCAAAAAATCAAAAAAACAAAACAAAAAAAACAAAACAAAACAAAAAAAACAACCAAAAAAAACACCTAAACTAAATAGAAGAAAATTTTAACTGTATGTTCAGTGACTGTTCTCCAGTTGTTTATTACTGCTGCACAGTGAGTCTTGTTTGCATGCCCAGGCCTGAATGCAACTGATTGAGAGCTGCAAAGAGGTCAGTGTTGTAAAATGGTATGTGTATAAATATCTAATGAACAAAAAGTATTTGCTATGTTGTGTATTAATTTTCTAGGGCTGCCATAAAAAGTACTGCACCACTAAGGACATATTTTCTCACAGTCTAGAGGCTAGAATTCCACGATCAAGATGTCAGTAGGGTTAGTTTCTTCTGAAAGCCTGTCTCCTTGCAAATAGCCATCTTTTCCATGTATCTTCGCATGGTCTTTCCTCGGTGTGTGTGTATCCTAATCTCTTCTTATAAGGACACTAGTCATATTGAATTACGGCCCATACCAGTGACCAATTCAACCTTAATTACCTCTCCAGATACAGATCAGTGATACTGAACCTTTTTTTTTCATATGCTTGCGGGCCACATGATGTCTTTTTAAGAAAAGATTCTATTCATGTCCTTTGCCCACTTTTAATATGGCTGTTCATTTTTTCCTTGTGAATTTAAGTTCCTTAGAGATGCTGGATACTAGACCTTTGACAGATGCATAGTTGGCAAAAAATTTGCCCCCATTGTGTAGGTCTGTTTCCTTTGTTGATAATTTCTTTCACTATGCAGAAACTCTTAAGTTTAATTAGATCCCATTTGTCAATTTTTGGTTTTGTTATGATTGCTTTTGGCACCTTTGCCATGAAATATTTGCCACTTCCAACATTCAAGATGATATTTCCTAGATTGTCTTTCAGAGTTTTTACACTTTGGGGTTTTACATGTAAGTCTTTAATCCATCTTGTATTTATTTTTTTATATGGTATAGGGAAAGGGTTCAGTTTCAATCTTTTGTATATGGTTAGCCAGTTACCATTTATTGAATAGGGAATCATTTCCCCATTGTTTGTTTTGATCAGCTTTGTTGAAGACCAGGAGGTTGTAGGTGTGCAGCTTTACTTCTGGACACTCTATTCTCACCACTGCTATTCAACATAACTATGAAAGTTCTTGCCAGAGCAGCCAGGCAAGAGAAAGAAATAAAGTGCATCCAAATAGGAAGAGAAGAAGTCAATCTATTCCTGTTTGTAGATGATAAGATTCTGTATCTGGGAAATTTCATAGTCTTAGCCTAAAAACTTCTTAAGCTGGTAAACAATCCCAGCAAGTTTCAGGATACAAAATCAGTGTACAAAAATCACTGTTAATCCTACACACCAACAATAGCCAAGAGACAAATCAGGAATGCAATGCCATTCATAGTAGCCACAAAAAGAATTAAATACCCAGAAATACAGCTAACCAGGGATGCAAAAGATCTCTACAATGTGAATTACAAAACACTGCTTAAAGAAATCAGAGATAACACAAACAAATTAAAAACATCCCATGCTCATGGATAGAAGAATCAATATCATTAAAATGGTTATACTACCAAAAGCAATTTATACACTTAATGCGATTTCTAACAAACTATCAATTACACTCTTCACAGGACTAGGAAAAAAATTATTTCATAATGCATATGGCACCAAAAAAGAGGCCAAATATCCAAGGTAATTCTATGCAAAAAGAATAAAGTTTGAGGCATCATATTACCCGACTTCAAACTATACCACAGGGCTGTAGTAACAAAACAGCATGGTACTGGTACAGAAACAGATACATACGCTAAAGGAAAAAGTGTCTTAAATTACTATATTTGTTTATCTATACATACAAAATTTTTGTTACGTACTACGATTTTCAATTTTGATTTATAAATATCAGATCTTTATTATTCGAATAAAGTACTGGATTTCAATTAACTTGGTTAGCTGTTGCTTTATAATTTGTGAAAAACCAGTTTGCATAGAAAATGAAAATGAAGCGAATATGCTTTCACTTATGTCATTCTCACAACAATTTCATGAAATTGGTATTATTATACCATTTACAGATGGAGGCACAGAAAGTCTCATCAATTTACTCAAAACCATACTGCTTAGGATGGAGTGTTACCCAAATGAGGCTGGCGTACTCTTGGGGCCCATAACTTAACCTTCATGCACTGATCATGTAAGTTGATAAAAGAGCAAATTGTTTCCTCTCCTCAGTTTTTCTTTTTATGAAAGAAAACTTTAGTATTCTGAAGGAAAATATTGACTTTCAAAATTATTCCAAGAACATTGCTCTAAGAACAAAACAGAATAACATAAAATATTGTCTACTTTATGTAATTAAATTGAAATAACTATGTTTCTTTAAGTCTGGCCATATAACTCTTAACCTACTCACACTCATGTTTTCAAAGGTGAATTTATCTCTTATTACTATTTATGTTCAAGTTTACACATTTCTTAATTACTTAATACCCTAAATATAGTGCATTTAGTTTATTAATATAAAATGAGAGCTGGTATACATTGTTGCTTACTTGTCTTCTCATACAGCAACCTATCATTCAGTCAAAGAAAACATGTTTAAGATTAATGGACATCACACTAACCTATGTGTTTTGATATTTTTGGAGTAAACAGAACCAAAAAGTAAACAGGCAAAAAGTCAGTCTTTAAGCCAGCAATGATAATAGGATATGTGTAAATGAATGGTTACTATACTTTTTTTACATCAAAAGAAGCAAAATAAAAATTTTAAACCCTTTCATAAGGCCATGGGGCAGATAAAGACAGGAGAAGTCTAATTGCAATATATCCTGCAATGGAATCACAGTCTGTGTAGAAGCTGATTAAGGTTAATTTAAATCACATCAATTTGAATTAATGTGGCCTTTGCAGAATGAACAACACCTTAGTGCCAACATGATCAATTAGTACTTTTAACTCCATACATCCACTTAGAAAGGTTAGATTTATTAGTTTTCAAGATAATATTTTAGAATGCAAATCTGTACTACTTCCTTTTTCTCTAGGCCACCTCACCTGAACACCTGGAAGTTCTCAGGACAGATGTGTCTTAGAGTGAATTCATTTATAATGTAAAGAAAAAAAAAATGTGTATGGAGAAAAACAGCCAGATGGTTTTGCCTCTCTTCCAATGCAGGACAAATAAGTTTAAGTTATCCAATTAAGACAAAGATCAGGGGCTGGGCGCGGTGGCTCACGCCTGTAATCCCAGCACTCTGGGAGGCCGAGGCGTGTTGATCACGAGGTCAAGAGATCAAGACCAACCTGGTCAACATGGTGAAATCCCGTCTCTACTAATAATACAAAAAAAAAAAAAATAGCTGGGCATGGTGGTGCGTGCCTGTAATCCCAGCTAGTCAGGAGGCTGAGGCAGGAGAATTGCCTGAACCCAGGAGGCGGAGGTTGCAGTAAGCTGAAATCGCGCTATTGCACTCCAGCCTGGGTAACAAGAGTGAAACTCCGTCTCAAAAAAAAAAAAAAAAAAAAAAAACAAAAAAAACACACACACACACACAAAAACAAAGACAAAGATCATAGTTGAGGACAAATAACTGGTTATATTAGGTATACAGTCATGTGTTTCCATATGGAGTTTAAATCTTAGCATTCAAAGATCCTTTAAGGTTTTAAGAACAACTTATTTTAGTTCCCCTGTTTTATAGATTAAAACATACTGCAGCACAGCAAATTTAAGTAACTTGCTTATAGTTACACAATAAACTGGACCAAAAGTTTAGTCTTTAGGCCACATTTTACACTTTATAATTCCTGCTGAATTGGATGTTTTACATTATTTGCACACACATGCAAAAACATGTTACTGGTAAGATACAGTGTTTCTATCAATTGTTGTGGTATCAGCAACAATCTCATCTTAGCAATAAAATTATCAGAGATGTCATTTCTTTACTTTGCTCCCAGAAAATTTCCTTTCATTAAAAAATAACAGCCTTTTCAAGTTAATCATCTTATCACTTTGACTAATAGACTATTGGAATGTATCCAGGCCTAAAGAGTGGTTTCATGCTTCTATGCTTTCATTTTCACTTTTCCCCCTGGAATGCCCTTTCTCACTGTATCTTAAATGTCTACTTCCTCCATTCCTACATGGGATACTCATATTTTCACTGGTTTATTGTTATATAACAAATCATCATAATCAATTGATTCAAATAGCAAAAACATATTTGCTCACTATTTTTAAGCATAGCTAATGTACATCTGCTTCACATGGTGAAATCCGGGACAATTCACCTAAAGCTAGAGGTTCCAAGATGCTTCAATGACAGGTCTGTTGCTTTACCTGGTATGAATGGAATGATTGGGGGATGGCGGGGCACATCTTCCTTACTTCTTAGTCTGTTATTACACAGGGCTTCTCTGTTTCCAAATGCTAGCTTTCAACCAAGGTATTAAGACTTTTTCTATGATGACTGCCTTCCAAGAAAAAAGAGTAGTTGTTAGGCCTCTTCACTTCTAGGCCTAAAAGTCATACAGTATGACCTCTGCCACTTTCTATTGGTCAAAGCAAGACAGAACTAGCTTGCATTCAAGGGAATGGGAAACCAACTCCCTGTCTGGCTGGAACGAGAGCATTTGATGATGGCCACCTTCTGATCAGGTGACATCAGCTAGACTAAACCAAGTCCTCTTCCAGAAGCATCCCTGGCATACCCATAGTCAACTGAAGCTAAGCCAAGTGTTCCCATTTTGTACCTTTTAATCTTATCATTATACTTTTCACATTCTTACATGATTTATATAATTTTTATAATATATTAAAATGATATATTTATATAATGATTTGTGACTGCTTTCTTGCAAAATGATAAGAAATAAGAACATGATCAGTTCTTAATCATCCTTGTGCCATTGGTATTCAGAGTATTGGCAAAGCAAGTATTGACAAAACAAGAGCTCAATAAAAAATTGCCAGACATAACTCAAACTTTAAAAGTACTGAAAGGGGAAGCAGCATGATTTTCCAATATATTCACATGGCTAACTGAGGAAAGCTGAACTTGAGAACAGGGACACTTAAAAAGATGTAACAATGTAGCTAGAATATTTTATGAAAAAAAAATTCATAATAAAATGAAACAATGAGATAAAAGATGCCCAGAAGTTTGTTTCATAATAGTTGATTTCCCTACATGGTGATAAACAAGACATTTGATTCTATTTATTTAATTTTTATTTTTGTTTGTTTTGAGACAGAGTCCAGCTCTGACACCCAGGCTGGAGTACAGTGTCATAATCTCAGCTCACGGCAACTTTAACCTCCCAGGTTCAAGTGATTCTCCTGCCTCAGTCTCCTGAGTAGCTGGGATTACAGGCACACACCACCATGCCTGGCTAATTTTTGTATTTTTAGTAGAGATAGGGTTTCATCATCTTAGGCTAGTCTCGAACTCCAGAACTCGTGATCTGCCCACCTCGGCCTCCCAAAGTGTTGGGATTACAGGCATGAGTCACCATGCCAGCTTATTCACATCTTCTTTAACTGGAAATAATTCATATTGGTTCATTAAATATGTGTATCTGAATTTGGCATTTTTTTCAAGTATTTATTCTTATAAATTTTTACATATCTAAAAATGTTGGGAAATCTAAGAAAGGCAAATAATGCATAGAGTGAAATATTCCTGAGAGCAAAATTCCAGGATGAAATCTTTAAAGGAAAATTATTTATCAAAATCCACAGCCTGATTTAGTGTATTTGAAAGATGTGGAGGCTTCTTCTTCCTCTAACACTTCCATCTGTCTCTTATTTTCTTTCCTCACTATTGGTTATAGCTGTGAGCTTGTTGAAACAATTAATCCAAACGGAATATTTCCAAGCACAAAGCTGACTCTGTATAAGACCATTTCTTGAAAATGCTTAATAAACACCAATGCTTTTATTTTCCTTTTTTAAAAGGCAGTAGAGGACTTGCTAGAACCCAGGGACAGCCTCCTTATTCCTTGTCAAAGTATATGAGAAATAGTAATAAAGATCTGTATATGACACCATCTCTAGTCCTGTATAAACTTTTGTCAATCAGCACAATACCTGTAAGCTTATACAATGATTTTAATCTGGCAAACAGTGAAAATAACAGATATTATATAAGCACATTTAAAGAATCTTTTATGTGTCAAAATTGCTTAGATAAAATAGAAATTTTGTTTTCAACTAGGAATCACAGTAAGAAATAAATAAACCATTACTCTCCTCCTTTAACGGTAGCTTTATTTATACTCACTAAGATTTAAGTTGTTAGTTTGCCAATTAATTTCATTAACTTTGTATTTCTGTTCATTAGGTTGAAAGCTTTGAGAAAAGTCTATTTAAAATGTGTCTCCAGAGATTTTTTTTTTTAACTAGAAAATTAATGTGACATTTATCTGTCAGACACAGAACCACCAACACAATAAATAAACTTATAATTTCCTTCCAAGTATTCCTATGTCTAAATTGCACGTAGAAACTATAGCAGACAGGACAAAAATGCAAAGCAGGAAAAAGTGTGTCCACAGATTTTACTAGTGAGGCAGGATTTATGAAGCAGGCTAAAAGCAGAGCACGTGGGAAGGCTAAGTAGTCCCTTCCTACACAGTTGTTACAAAGGTTGAGATGAATGAAGCAGCTAAAAGCACATGCTTCTTTTTCAAAACTAGTCAGTAAAAGCAAAGTGGGAAATGAGAGAGACTTGCCTACCAGGAGACTGTTTTCTGAGACTAACCCCTGTGGTTGACACAGGAGAAAAATACAGGGCTACACAGTAATATGGGTAATATCACTCCCTGTCAAACACAGCTTTTCTAACGTTGGTCATTACAATCAGTCTCAGTGGTCAAATGCCCATCTTTGGAAGCATCTAAATATGTAATTACTTAATAAAAAACAAAACAAGTTACATGTTTATAACAGTCTTTTACTAACGTTACCTGTTTTATTATATTGTCTAGCAGTGAATGTGAGTGCTAGAAAAATATCATGAAAATATCTTTTAGCAATCATTGGTCTGTGAATTTAAAATATCGACATCTAGTGTTAAAATATGTTGACATAAACTTACTAAAATTAAAAATGTAACAGATATTCATCTGCATTTTGTTTAGCTAAATATGTGTGTTTTCTTTTTAACTTGCATGCAAATAAATTCTGGAGAGTTTTAAAAAAATCTATTGCATTTCTATTTAATAACAATGTTTTGTATTTGTTCACCTTAGCGTATGTCATATTCATCAATTCAAATAGCCTGTTTTTATTTATGGAATTCTAAACAATGTTAGAGTAAACTATTGGGTACTCCATTCCATTTAATAAAGGATTGCTGTGCATATCTCTGCAGTTGATATTCTATTTGAACATGTACAATTTATGTTTGTGTACATGTATATTGAATCCTGTGTCATTTCACAACAGAGGGATGTTCCAAGACATACATTGATAGTTGATTTTTTGTGTGAACATGTTGAGGTGTATTTACCTCAGTGTTACAGATTACTACACAGTAGGCTACAAACTTGTACACATGCTGTACACTATAGACAATTGTAATAAAATATTAACTGTTTGTATAGCTAAACATAAAAAAGAGCAACAATGCAGTATTATAATGCTATGAGACTACCAGCACATATGTGCTCCATTGTTAACTGAAATGTTGTTATGCAGTACATGACTGTGGATAAATATATATTTGTGGATATAAATATAAAAACACACCTATATATATTTTAATGTATTTGTGTTATGTTTTCACAACTTGCATTTAATATATACTGTTTGATATAATATGATTTGATACAGCAATACTATAATAGTAATGTGAACTATTTGGAAGATTTAGGATAAAATGAGAAAAGATTTGACCTATATAAAAATTTTAAAATCAGCCAGGAAAAAAGAATGAAATTTAGAAAAGAGGACAATCTGTGGTGTGCAAGAAAGTTGTTAAATATGTCGGTTGTGTTAGCTTAAAAAGTGATTTAAACTCTTGAGTCTAAATAATCTTTAGATTCAAGAATATAAAACTTTTCTCACATGCTTCTGTGATTAAATTTATAAGAAATTCTGGCAGATAGGAGATGGTAAATAAACAGCGACTTCTTTCCTCAGCATTTTTTCAAAATTGATGCAAGGCTTTGCTCATTCTTTTTAACCAGGAAGAGAATAAAATCCAGAGGACAGGAAAAAGGGTTTATGTGTTAGTGAAGTATAAATTCAAATCTCAGTCTGTGCTTAGGATTTAATGTGAATGATTTTGATGGTTAAAACTGAGTACCAATTTGAATGGATTCAGGAATACACAATATTGATCCTGGGTGTATCTGTGAGGGTGGTGCCAAAGGAGATTAACATTTGAGTCAGTGGGCAGATCCACCCTTAATCTGGGTTAATGTGGGTGGGCACAATCTAATCAGCTGCCAGCATGGCTAGAACATAAGCAGGCAGAAAAATGTGAAAAGGGAGACTGGACTAGCCTCCTAACCTACATCTTTCTCCTATGCTGGATGCTTCCTGCCCTCGAATATCAGATTCCATGTTCTTCAGTTTTGGAACTCAGACTGGCTCTCCTTGCTCCTTAGCATGTAGATGGCCTATTGTGGGTCCCTGTGATTATGTCAGTTAATACTTTATATATATATATATATATATATATATATATATACATTTATATTTATATAGGTATGTTTATATGTATTCCATTAGTTCTGTCCCTCTACATCAACCTAACACAATGATCTTTCCATATATAATTTCCATATCTGCAAGATGTATTTCAAATTTTCTGTTACATAAAAATGCAATGATGGTCAATTGGGAAATATATATCGCTCATCTAACATATTATTTGACACATAATTGGAAATAACTAAATATATATATGGTGTGTGTATATATATATACCTATACAGCTTTTGCTTTCTAACAAACACTGTACTAAGTACTTTACATGTTTCATCTAGTTTATTAATCATTATCATCTTTATTAGCTTCTCAAATTTTAAAAAATATTTAAGTAAGTTCAATAGAACTTCAATGACAGAAGTTTGAAGGTTTTTTTTCTTTTTTTTTTTGTCTTCTCTAATATGGTAGCTACTAGCTATATGTGGAATATACAATATGGCTAGTCATTAAAAACAACTAAAATTTGTTTTTAAATCTGATTTTTTTATTGCATTTTAGGTTTTGGGGTACATGTGAAGAACATGCAAGATTGTTGCATAGGTACACACATGGCAGTGTGATGGGCTGCCTTCCTCCCCATCACCTCTATCTGGCATTTCTCCCCATGCTATTTCTCCCCAACTGCCCACCCCCTGCTGTCCCTCCCCTATTTCCCCCCAACAGACCCCAGTGTGTGATGCTCCCCTCCCTGTGTCCATGTGTTCTCACTGTTCAACACCCACCTATGAGAGAGAACATGCGGTGTTTGATTTTCTGT